TTTAGCAGGGCTTATAGTTTTAAATCGAGACCTCTAATTTCCAGCTTCAGCCATTTCCAGCTTCAGCCGCGACATTTTTTTTTTTTGCTTACTTTTATGCAAGATGCTTAAAATTTTTTTATTTGTCTCAGAATAACGCGCAGATGAGCATCATTCTGCGAAACGGTATGACTTTAGTTACATGATTATTACTTTTGATTATACATCGCCTAATTCTTATAAACGAGAATAGCCTTCTTACGAAAAAATCAACCGATTCTATAGTTGATGATCGATGCCCGTTAAATCGCAAAATCTTTATAAAAATCTTTTAATCAAAAAAAAAAAAGAAAAAAAAACATGAATTTTTAAGAATTATCTTTAGAAATCCTACTTATATTCCAGCTTTTTATTACAGTAATTTACCAGGTTTTTAGTGAACATTTTCGAGAACTCGTAGATCTACTTTAATAGTTAATACCTGATACATCCCGTACCCTTATTACCCATGTTGGCATAAAAAATATAACTACGTATTAGTTTACATTAGGGATTTTAGAAGTGAGAATCGATTCTATTTTAGGAATCATGTTAAAAAAGACAAAAAAAATTCAAAATTTATAAACGCACATTATACATGATGAACCGTTATATTAATTTTATTGGAAGAAATATAACGATAAGAAATATAATCGTAATATCCCAATTTTTGGTCAGAGCTAAATATTTGAAGATCATTGGCCTGCATTATCGTAGACTTCCGATTGACAAAACCATATAGTGTTTGTTGGGCAAAATCGGTTATGTATTCTATATTACCTTAGTGCGACCCAGCAGACCAGGTCACGATTCTGAAAATGAAAATTGACTCTAGATTCGATTAACTTCTATATCACGAATTTGCTGCAATAAATTTTCTCTATCTTGAGGATATTCAAAATTATTCAACAAAATTTACGATAATTACATCCAAAACGTATAAATTTGCTTTCATCAGAAAAAATTACTTTTTTCCAATCATTTACAGTCCAATGTAAATGATTTTCAGCAAATTTATAACGTTCATCTTTAGCTTCTTGGCTAAGAGAAGGTTTTAAAAGTTTATTGAAATCCCGAAACAATTTAAAATTGTCCGATTGGATTTTAGTCTGATCGGGCGTAAATAAACTTCCAGGTTAAAATGTGCTAATCTTTTACCGGTTTCTCGAATCGTGGTATGTAAGGCTTTCGTCTTACCCAGGTCCTTCCCTGACGTAAGGTGATAAATGCACCGGTTGTACACTAAAATTTACTCAGAATTTCGTTTAGTACTTTACGCACACGCTTGTATTTGCCGCAACGTTTCTTGCACCTTCGCATAACCTCTCATTCACAGACGACCTTTCCCTCGACTATCACAGAATCGATTCTCGCATTCGCAATAATATTTGAGTCGTTTCTTTCAAATAATTAACGATTTCGTCCAATTCAAACTTTATGGGCATATATAATAGGTTGAAGATTTCGGAAAAATCGTAGTTTTCCAAAGAAATAGAACCACTATATATGTACAGTCAATTCTCTCTAAGTGCAACCTTTCTAAGCGTAACTTCTCTCTAAATACAACTTTAACTTAGGCCTAAGTATATGTTTGGTTTTTATAAGTTCTTATAAATGCAATTTTTCTTGTTCTCTAAATGCATGTTGCTAAAAGTCTGGCCCCAACGAATTGTACTTAGAGAGAGTTGACTGTACCTAGATTAATATAAGCAGCAACAAGTTTGTTTTATTTTTATTTACCAATTGAATATATACAGTTTATCATGCTCACTTTAATAAGTCTTCAAATGCCTTCGAAGAAATAATAAGAAGTACGATAAAGCGCCGTCCGTTTCTAGATAAAACATTACGGAAAAACTAAGACAGAGCGAAGAGAACAAAGAAATGTGCCTAAGAGTAGTGTCTATCTATTCGCAAGGTATTTAAACTACCAAGTAGTTAGCTTAAAGCTCACCAATTATTCACAGGGTATTATTAAGTAGTTAGTCAGACAAGAATACATTTAACTATTCGCAAGGTGCAAAAGCAACCAAGTAGTTAGCTTAAACCCCAACTATTCACCAATAATCACCAAGTAGTTAATTAGCTAAAATTATTGTCTATCTATTCGCAAGGCATACTGATTACTAAGCAGTTAATCAGACAAGAATAAGTTTAACTATTCGCAAGATGCAAAAGCAGTTAAATCAAGCAGCATAATCCATAAGCCTTTTGTTTTTTAATTTTGCTAAAAGAAAGTCGTAAACGACCTTATAAATAGTTTAAACAAAAACTTCTAGAAAAGATTATCATAAACGTAGCAAAACAAATGAAACAAATCAACAAAAGAACCTTTTATAATGATCCACTGTAATTTTTGAGATGTTATATAGTTAGTGTGGGAGAGAAATTCCGAAAAGTTCCGATGTAGAAAATTAATGAACTTAAAGGACGAGCAAGGTCGAGGCAATTTTGGACCAATATCTGAATGATTCGAGAAACCGGTAAAAGATTAGCACATTTTAACCTGGAAGTTTATTTACGCCCGATCAGACTAAAATCCAATC